GGGGGGGGTCAGCTCACTGATGCAGGATATGCATAAACCAGGATATACATAAACCATGTGTGGTACTACTTGTATGACTGGGTGTAGAAGAATCCGCAGGTCTTGGCACTAGGTCCACACGTAGCTCCATTTACATTAAGGTGAACTATTTATATATAAAACTACATGTATCTTCCAATTGCCGAGATGCCTAGCACAATCAATTCATCAAAACAAGTCATGACAGATGACAGTCAGTACTACACTGGTACAGTACTTACTGATGTGAACATATTGAATGTAAAATAAATATTAATTGGTTTAAATGTACCATATTTCCTCTATCTATAAGCATAAAATAGCAGGAAATTTATACTGGATTATTAACTTCAACTTATTTTGACCATAGACACACCTCTGTTATTCACATAACTGTGAGTGCTACTACTGGTAATAGAACAAATAAGGTAATGCTAATTTTGCCTCTGTATCTTATTCCTAAATTATTTACATCCAATATGACTATAGGTAACTATTACCATGAAGTTAACTTATTTTCCCCCTGAAAAGGTATTTTGAGAGAAGGATTTCACCAGATTCAAGAAAGGTAATCACTTATGTACAATCTGATTTGAATACAACGTAAGCAATGAGGCTCTGTTCACTTTTAATACCAAACAACAGTATACATCACTTTTACTACATCTGACAAAATGACTATCTAAATCGTCTTGAATGTCAACCAATTAGTCTGAGCCTTACGAGAAAATAACTCATAACATGGTTTCTGATTGGATTTGGATCAGAAGAAATTTGAGGTAATGCACGAGGAATTTGAAGAGAACAGAACCCTTATTGATATTTGGGTAATGATTTACATTAAGCTATACAAAATTATAAATGTTTACTTTTTTCCCAAATAAATGGAACAAAGCATTACCCTTAGACACCGATATATACCATTTATATTGGCTATCCATAGAGATTTTCAGCAAGCAATGTCTTAACCATATTAATCAGCAAGGTCCTGGCTGTGTGATGTGGGGGTGAGGTTTTATAATGTATGTCACATCTGTTGGTGGGATGACTCATAAATGTGAAATGTACACAGAATGTGGGTGAGAAAACACTGAAAGTTAATAAATCTAATCATAACTATAGAATGCAATTATTATAAATAAAGCAGAAAATTTATTTAAAAACTTTTACATATCATGGTACATCTTACAAATGTTAGATCTAGTAATCGGTGAGTATGCCCAATTTTGGAAACCTCAATTTGAGTTTTTTTCTCATCTCTACAACTATGAAAAACAGCATTTAGTTTACTTTGAGAAAGAGCGAACTTATACAAAGTACAGTACAAGTAGTCCACATTTAAGTAACTGTACTGTACGTATTTACTCTATTAGTAGTTTACACACTCAAATCTAGAATGTAAACATAAATGACCTTTCAAAAGGTCAGCTATAGGAATGAATGTTTCACTGTGAGTACGATAATTAAAATCCAAACTTCCTCTGAAACATAATTTTTTGGCTCACAAACTTAAAACAAACAAACTGTGACATGTATTTTCAATACCTTGGGTTACTATTGATAAGCAGGACTGTCATTACTGAATCTCAGTACAAGTATCAGAAATCAGTTACACTACAACTACACAAGTTCAATTTCAAGTGTAGACAAGCGGCTCTTCGAAGTTCAATGTGTGCAGTCAAGTGACATACGAAGTCAATTAATTCTTTTGTAACGTTAACTTCACCTATAGTGAAGAAGTAAATTAGAAGAGATGAAATACACTGGAACACACTGATTATACAAATGGCAGAAATAAAAGAAAAAGATTAAAGGAGCAAAAAACAGAGCACTCAGTGTCGGGGCAAGTAAATGTAACGAGGGCATGGGAATGGGCAAATCTCTGACTAAGTCAATGTTGACAGAAAAAAATCAGGATGTACACTTTCTAAAAAGAACTTGTTTATTTGTACGTGACTAAATGCATTCTGCGGTTAATTTTAAACATCACCAAGCCTAGGTCAGAGAACTTTATATTTATCCTGATTTCAAAAGTGAACTGGCGAGTATGTGAGAAAACATTTAAGTCACTCGCTAGTTAATAAGGTTAATCAATTATTCACCATTCTAATTAGATTTGAACTTAGGACCTTCTATTCTAGTTGTCTCTACATTCCAATAGTGTTTTTTAAGTGATACTTCAATGTACAACAAAAAATCTAATTTTGTTAAGACTTTTTAATGAATGAGTGAAAAAAAAAGCACACATAAATCTAAAACTGTATTTATTATATGCTGGATTAATGACTTATTTTGACCATAGACACGCATCTGTCATATGTAAACATATGAGTTACTAATTGAGAAAATAATATAACCAGGTCTGAGAAAAACTGAATAAAAATGCTTAAGTTATTACAACAGAAAATAAACTACAACAGACATTATAACCATTACATGTATAACCTGCCACCTTCATCATCATCCATTCTAGTGCAACTTCAATAGCAGAGTGACAAGGGTGCCGCCCTCCCCCTTCCAGACTCCAGACGGTAGTAAATTATAATCACAATAAAACTCATTTTGCAAACATCAATTATTATAGCCTTTGAACACCTAACTCAACTTTTATTACCTATTACCATAAAATAAACCAAAATAATTAGGTCACATTTATTAATATATTTATCTATATCGAATCAACTTAATTATTTGAACTTTGTTAATTTTCACAAAATAAATAAAATTTTCCGTATTTTCCCCAAAGATTTTGATCAGGAGCTATAGGCAATAGAAAATTATATCCATATGGTCTAAAAATAAAAGAGAAATTACAGAAAAAAAACTAAAAATCTATGAAATTTTGTACAGAAATTTTTTAGCGAAAAAATTATGGCATTCAAAGGGTTAATTAGTAGTCACTAGACATGTACTAGTATTCTATTTCAACATGGTCCTACCCCCAAACAATAATGCTCTGAGTGTGGTAATTTAATCAAAACATTTTTTGTTATCTATTATGTAATATTACACAAGTAAAATTAATTAAAGCAGCAATGAATTTATGCTTTAGTACATGTAATTTCCCCAAATAATGCATATTATGAATATTTATCATTTCTTAAAATAGCAGCTGTGTGAGCACAGTATATTAGAAATACAGTGATTTTATTTATAGTTCTAAAATTCTCATGAAGTACTTCTGTTCAAATTAGCTAAGAATAATAAAACTTATTATAACAAAATCTGTGCCAACTTTTTATTTTTAAATGTTGATTATTGTTCACTAGCATCATGAAAGTAAACAGATACTTTTTTCGAAAATGCCAACTTTTTTTGCTGCAACAACGCTATCAATTAATTTGACAACCTAATTTTCTCTGCATCGCTAATCTTCAAAGCGGTCTTTTAATTTGCCCAGTCAGTAGCAATGCTATTATCTGAATTCTATTAAATTGAGCGCCTGACCACAATATCCTACAATTCCCACTTTATAAAACCATTGTGTTCACAAGTGAAGGGATTCTCTCACACATTTAACAAAACTGTGAAAAAACAACTTTTATAAAGAACTTTCAATTCAATTCAAATCCTATGCTTAATATACACGGCAATCATGGCAGAATTTTGAAATAATTTTCATAGGAATACTTGGTTTCAAACACATTATTGCTAAGTGATATAATAATAATAGTTTAAGTGACTTCAATTATATTTTCTAAAAATATATGTTTAATAATACATTTTTCATACTTTTGTAAAACAAACACATTTTTATCCTGTATTTCTCATTAATAAATAAATTAATAAAATAATAATAGTTCAAAAATTTACCTGAGAGAACAATGCACAGAAAAAACGAAAAGAAAAAAGTGTAAAATTTTAATATACTGTGAAAAGATTTATTTAAACTGGAATTAATTTTCGCTGAAAATACTTTTTGGTTGTTTAGTATGGAATTTATTTTCACTGTTTTTTGACAAGTTGGAGGTAAAATATAGGAAAAAAGGTGTATTCGCTGAATTTTATTTTCCCTGAAGTATTCCCTTCAGCAAAAATAGTGAAAATTAAGTATTTTACAGTATAGCGAAATTGTTTTACACATTTATGCAAGAGAATATAATGTTTTTTAAATGATGTTCTAACGTTTAAAAATAAGATTATAAAAGCATACATACACCATAAACCTGAATGCAGGCTGCCACAATATGGTACTTGACAAACGTATATAATAATATAACTTTGTATTCACAAAACAAATCAATTGTTATACTGCTCACAGCTGTTCAAGTCATCATGGATTACATGCTGATTGTATGAGTACTTCGGTATTTGACGGTATTTGACAACGGGATCTTAACAGAGCTGTGTTGTGAAGACAACAATGTCTTTGGTATTTTAGCAAATAATTACTTATTCAAATGAAGAGAAATAAGTTGAGAAGACTTGTTGATCAATATTTCTAATTTAGAGAACCTAGAGATCTAGACTTAAATTGATATTGTTACAGTTGGTGAGCATAATGGAATTGATTTGATAATCATCCACTAAACATGCGAACCAGCGGGTGGGTGGGGTCTTTGGTGTAAGTTACTTTCCAGCATCTCAAGCAGACCGTCTGTAGTTGATGACGGGGCGTTTTGGTGGGAATAATCAATGTTTCTGAACGTAGCTGGTAAACTCATGACAACTTAGTTATGCCACATTTACTTCCACGTGCAATGCGAAAATGCGACGAGCTTCCCACGACAACGGTGTGCTAACGTCAAAATAAAAGTCCCAACCCAACCCCAATTAGCCGTTGAACGGTTGCGCTCCACCAACAACAACGTAAAACTGTCACACACAAGTGCCGCAAAACTAGACTCGCGCGATAGAATCAATTGGAATTTTGCGACACAATTCACTGATAAAATGAACGAATATATAAGAGACCGATGTGTTGAAACTCAATTATGGACAGTCTTCAAAACAATATAAAAACACAAGATTTGTCGACTTACGCACGGGATGCCCTCTCCTCCGATATCAACCATCTTGACGAAGCAATGACTGATGGGTAATGTGGGGTCAGAGGTTACCATGAACATGGAATGGCGAAGACAGCTCATGGCGGATCTTTCAAATTCAGGGCGACAACCGTGAAGTTCCGTGCTTTATATGCTGGTATACAGGGCTAAACCGTTCTTTATAAGAGTCAACAGCAATGGCGAACATTCATCATTGGTTTTTGAAAGAGGTACGACCATAAATAGCGTGTTTTGCAGTGTGTAGATTTTTACACATGTAAATGTCTGTTCGCAGATAATACTAGTATTCCAATAATTTCTAAACTTTCATCATTTCGACTTCTTCATTATATTATTACCCATTCACCCGTTGTTCTATTGTTTATTCTGAGCATATACAATGTTTTTATCCCCCCTTTCCAGATAGGCCATGGAGGGACCGTACTTGATAATAATAACAATCATATCCCCATTTTGGATCTAAATAAAAATGCAGTAAAGTTTGAGAATAAAAAAAGGATGATGTGTAGACAAGTACACATAGGGAAAGGGTTTTTTAAGGTCCCTTCACCCCTGATCTGAACCGTACCCTAACACTCCAGCCCCCCAATATACTAACAAATAATTATAAGTGACCCAAAGAGGGGTACCAAGTATAAACAATTGAAATGGAGGAGGTGTACTGGAGGGGCAGTGTTAGGTTTTGAGTTATGGTTGAGGGGGCCCTGAGGAACTCTTACCCACATAGCATGCAATGATGTTCTATTTGGGCTGGTCTATATTGGAAATGTACATCAATCATGAAACAATAGTAGAAAATTAGTTGAGTGTATTTGGAATTTTATGTAAGCTTTATGTATTGTTTTTTCATATGGGGATACTCATTCAAATGTTATTGTAAAATTGATACAACCGCCACCAGTTGTGCACTATTAGCTACATTCAGTTTATGAGTGAGGAATGTTTTATCCCACCCAAGCTAGAGTCTAGTGTTACTATCGGTATTGCTTTAACACGTAATGGAATTAACATCAGATTTAGGCAGTAAAAATTAATGCAGTTTGTGTTTTTCAAAACCATGCCACTTGTATGTAATTAAATTTATTCCATCTTCAATACTTTCACTCCTAAACTTTTCACAAATCCTGTTCTCTACAGGGATTTTAGGTCTCTTATGTCTGCCTACTTCTATTTGGATTTTGTGACACCTAAGTCTCAATTGAGACAATAATTTAGTGTATTGTCTATTATTAGTCCCCGTTCCGACGAAGGCCGAAAACGGGGACTTATAATTCGGTCTCCGTGTGTCCGTCCGGAGTCATATCTCAGAATCCCTTGGACCGATTCCGTTCATTCTTTGCATGTGCCTAGTACTTTATGTGGGACATATGCACATGCAGTAGGTTTAGCGATTCGATTCAAAATGGCCGACTGGCAGCCATCTTGTTTTTTGAAAATGTTGTATTTTGGACATGCTTTGTCAGTTTTCATTCAAACTTGTACATAGATTATACATGTTAGGATACATGTCCATGATGATTTATTTCACATTTGGATCAAAGATGGCCGACTGGCAGCCATCTTGTTTTTTGAAAATGTCGTATTTAGGACATGCTTTGTCAGTTTTCATTCAAATTTAGTACATAGATCATACATGTTAGGATACATGTCTCGACCGTCCGTGAGTTCCTGAGTCTGTCCGTCCGACCGACCGTCCGTGTGTCTGTCTGTCCGTGCGTGCGTCAGTCTATCCAACGTCATATTTCAGAATCCTGTGGACCGATTCCGTTCATTCTTTGCATGTGCCTAGTACCTTATGTGGGACATATGCACATGCAGTGGTTTAGCGATTCGATTCAAAATGGCT